CCCCCCAGCCCGCCGCCGCGGGAGCGCCTCCATATTGTGTTCAATATGCGCATACCAAGACGCGGCGGCGTCGCGCGGCGCACCTACCAGGTGGCTGACTCACGCCGCGCACTTTCGTAGTTATGCTGTAGCGCATGCACGCGTGCGCAGCGGGGATGAGCAAACCGCCCACATCACCGTGCATCGGTACAGTACGAAAGTGCGCCGCGTGAGTCAGCCACCTGGCACTACACCTGTCCCTCTCTGCGCCGCCTGCGAGCCTCTGCTCCGACAACTATGTGCAGCTCAGGTGCAGCGCTTTGCTTTGCAGCAGCACCACGTGGCCGTGGCCTGCTCTGACGTACAGCACCAGCACCGTCCTGCAGACTGCTGGGCCGAGCCGAGCCGAGCCGAGTCGCGCAGGGCTGTAGGGCATTCAGCCCAGCCGGTCCAGCCGGTCTCATCTCCGATAACTCGGCTTGCGAGCCAGCCAGCCCAGCCCGGGCCCGTCTTGCCGAGGGGGGCGGCGGGGCGCCGTGGGGTGGGGGAGGGGGTGGTAATCCGATACTAATCAGCCCTTCTGGGATCCATCTGCGACCCCAGCAAGGGCCAGGCGGGCTCGGCGGGGGGCGCGAGGGGGGCGGGGCGGCGGCCTGTAGTCTGCGGCCGCGCGCGATGCACGATGCACGTGTGCGACAGAGCGGACCGCGACGTCTTTATCTCGGTCATGAAGTGGAAAAAAGGGCAGGACTGGAGTGAAATGCTCTTTTGCTCCACGAGGTGTACAGCTGAGCGACTGTGAGATCCTTGACCTTGACTTGACTAACCGCGAGGCCTCTGTTGGCACAAGGGTCATGATCCGGCCGAAGCCGTTCATATGGTCACACCTTACCGTAGTGTGCTAGTCTGGCCACATTTCGAAGAGCCCCAGCCTGCGCATCTTTCGTTCCGTTCCTCTCCCCGCGTGCCTCGGTGCCTGGCCGGGGGCCGGGGCCGGGCGGCGCAGCGGCGGCAGCGAGGCGGCGAGCGCCTTGCGAATCGAGGGTAGGCTGTCCCGCCCAACACGCCTGCTCGCCGGTTTGCATACCGGCTTGATTCGCCAGGCGCTCTCCGCCTCCGCGCTGCACTGCCTCGCGCAGAGCGAGCGCTGCCCGGTCTATCTGTCCCGTCCCCACCACCCATCTGTTCCTTCCTCTTCCCCTCCCTCTTCCCTTCCCTCCCCCCCTCTCTCTCTCTCTCTCTCTCTCAGCCCCCCCCCTCTCTCTCAGCCCCCCTCTCTCTCGCTCTTTCCCTGCTCGCCTTCTGGTGCACCGCGCACTGCCGCTGCTGCCTGCCTCGCTAACCCGAGAGTCGAAATGCCTGCAAAAACAGCAGCAACAGCGGCAGCGGCAGCAGCGGTTGGGCATTTGGGATGAGGAGGGATGAGCCGCTGGTCCCAGGGCCGGGGCGGGGTGGGGCGGGGCGGGGCAGACTGGAACGCCCGTAAATCTGGGGCAAATCTGACCACCGTATTGCTGCGGCTTGTCGTGGCGCGGCGGGTCTGGGTGGGCGCACCGCACAGCACCGCACCGCCAGCTCCGAGTGCCCCGCCTCCCGCCCCGCCCCAATAAGTGACTCGCACAGTTATCGGCCGTGCCGCCGCCGCCGCGCCGCTGCCGATCCTCAAACAAAACGAAACTTATCGGGAAGTGGAGTTGTAATCTGGGGGAAGGACGGCTCCATCTTGGGGGAGGACCAGCAGAGGACTCCGCAGCGACCCGATACTACTGTCAAGGGCATGGAAAGTGAACCGCTCCAGGGAGGAGGGGCGGGAGGCCAATAAAGACCGACCCCTTTCCCACCCGCCCTACACACCACCATACCGCGATCGCTGGAAAAGAAAGTATGGTCTAGCACTGCGTTCTCAACAAGAGACAAGAAAGAAAGAAAGAAGAAAAGAAAGAAAGAAAGAAAGAAAGAAAGAAAGAAAGAAAGAAAGAAAGAAAGAAAGAAAGAAAGAAAGAAAGAAAGGAAGAAAGAAAGAAAGAAAGAACCTACTTCTTCATTTTCAAAAAGACCGCAAATAAATTTTGCAATGGGAAAAAAATCGAATCTTGGTCGAATAATTCTCATTATATTTGTGTTTTCAGTGTTGTCATGTCGTCGTGGCGTATTCATTTTGCCCCCCTCATCCTCCGCTCTTTCTCCTTTCCTCCTCCCCGCAGGGCGCCGAGGCAGGACTCACGTTATTGTGTTTCTGCGGGACTTTCTTTACTCGATTACTCCCTCGCAAGTTTTGACAGCCGCGCCGCAGCTCGGCCCAGTTAGGAGTGAAATAACTGGGGTGAGAGGGTGTTTGGGTTGGCTTTGTACTGTGCTGCTTCACTTCTTGTTTTTGTATTTTTAGCTGTGTATTGTAGCATTTCATTTTGAACTTGCATGTATATTTTCAGTAGTGAATACGGTTTTCATGAAAATGCAATAATTACAGATTAAAAAAGGCTGGTAATCTATTATTGTAGGATTGTAATTATGGCTACTTACTGAAAAACTGAATCATATATTCATCGCCACAAAATGTGTTGAATGTAGGAAATGTGTGGAAATTCAAAGGCTATGAATTTAAAAGTTCATAGATTTTGGTGGGTATGATTTAGCGCGCTTTGAGTCAGAAAAGTTTATTTCCGTGACCTTGCCTTTCGCGTCGTCGTTTTCCCTCTATCTTCTTTAGACTCTCCAGGGTCATTCTCAAGATGAACGACTATAGCCGATTGAGGCGCGAAATGTTTGCAATTTTTCTCGGGAAAAACTCGCAACCTCGTTTTGCGCGCTGCGCTCGTTTATTTGGCGTCCAACTTTTTACTTTTGGCCGTGCAGCAGCAGCGGTAGTAGTTTACGTTCCCGTCTCTCCCTCCCC